TGTACTAATACTTAATAAAAAGAAAAAAAAATGTAATTCAACACACAGAAAATTTAGATCACTTCCTATCTAGCCCTGATGTTTGCAAACTCTCCAGGTAGTTAAAGAGAAACTGAAGCCTTTCTGCCTAAATAATCCAAACTCTTGCTCAACTCTCACTACATAAACTATTTCTGTTGTAAATTGAATAGAAATTATTTCACCCAAGAGAGCAAGTGTGTAGATGTTTTCAAAAGTCATAATATTCTTGGAAAACAGCACTGGTTCTTTTCGCTTGCCCTTTTAGCTGTTGCATTAGGGTGAGTTTATTTTAAGCAGCTCCTTCTGAAAAATGGGGACAATCCATGGGGAGCGCTCATGGCTGAGAGAAACAGTAAGAAGAACATATTAAAAAAAACAGTAGGGTTTGAGGCAGCATAATCTGTCTGTGAGTTTTTAGAAATGGTTCTAGTAATTTTCTACCTAATATGTCCTTGGAGGAAATCTTCTCTGTGTCATTAATTTAGAAATGAGATTGAGTTTGAGTAATTATCAACTTCCCTACTGGGAAAATAATCTTGCGGTAACCTCATTATTATATTATTATTTTCAAACTTCTGCTCTCAATACTCCAGTTGTAAATGTTTTATCTATTTAATAGTCCATTTCCGATGAAAAGTTTTCAGTAGCAGGAGGTTGGTGCATGTTGCTTACAATGAGTTTGGTCAAGTCCTAAGGAAATTTTGAGATCCTTTGAGGATGATGTATTTCCCCATTCTGTTATTTTTAAAACTAACAAGGGCTTCACAAACAGAGTTGTTCCCTTTTTCCAGGCAGTTTCTGGGTTCCCCAGGCTCAGCTCAGCCTTACCTTCTGCTTGAGTTATGTCTCAGCCTCAGGCCACCTGTGTTCTTCAACATCTTGTAGTAGTCGTTTCACTTATGCACTTGGTCCTCTCCTGCCCCCATGCTTAGCTTGTCTCAGCCTGATGCATGTCTGGAATCCTAATGCTCTGCCTCACTTTTGGCCTTATTGTTTGAGGAAGTGGGCTTTTGCTTCCTGTAATAGTCCTGATCACACAGGACCAAAATGCTTAAATATTCTGGTATTCTAATACTGTAATAATTTAAACATCTATTATTCTGTTGCCAGATATCTGTGCATAGTTTCTTTTGGTTGCAATTCTCCTTTCATGAGAATATGGCTAAGGCTCTAAAGGGCAGGCTTTGAAGTCAAACTTACTGGGTAGACATCCAGATTCTGTCCCTTGATTAACTGTGTGATCTTGGGAAATTTAGTCCATATTCCTAGGGTTTCCTTTCCTTTTTCAAAGGATGGCCATAGTGGACATGGTTTGTCACCCGTCCAGCATCCATTCATTCATTGTTTTGTTCTATTGGAATTTTATCTTTTCTCAGGTCTCTGTTCTTCCTCCACAGAGCTATGCTCTTCAGAGAAAGTGGCCTTGTGCCTCTTTCTTCAAGAACGGGTATATTTCACAGTTATGTCCATTGAGGAGCAGTGAGTCTGCTAGTGGGTAATCCCTGAGCCTAGAGAGAGCTGTAGGAGTCCCTTCCCATCCAGACATTGGGTGTGCAACTTGAAGCAACTGCAAAATTCTAAGGATCCAATCAACACTGATACTGGAAACTGAAACCTAGGTCTCTGCGTCATGATTATAGCAGCAAGTCAACCCCGTCCTGAAGTCTGCCCTGCTTCTGGACTCTCTCATGCAGGGAGATTTGATTTCCTTCCTGGTTAATCCAGTTTGAGTAGGACTCCCTGTTTCCTGTAGTGTAAGAAATCTTACTGATGGAGTTCTTGGTAATATCAAATAAGGAAAAAGTATTTAAAGTACTAAGCACACTTTCAGCACAGGTTTTGTATTACTTTCATGAGCCTTTGAGGCTATTTCCTTGGAACCAGATCCACTTAGTCCTGGCACTTGTGTGCCATAAATCTCTTGGTGTTGAGACTCCAGTATGTTCCATGTCTCATCATTCCTGATCTATGATCACCTGGAGAAGAAATAATGAATATATATCTCCAGAGTAACAATTAGAAGTTGTCCTCAGAAATTTTTGTGTATAGAACGAATGAGACTAAAAAGCGTGATTTCATTTCCTGATTCTGCAGGGCATTGCCATTATTCCTTTTTAGGATTTCTCTACATATTCTTGTTTTGATTCACTTATGACTTGTTTGATCCCATATGGATTCCCATTTACCATTGGATTCCCCTCTGCTTTTCTTTTCGTCTGGTCTCAGTTGGACATGTTTTATACCATACTGGTTCAAGAAGCCATTCACAGGTACTTTAGCTTTTCTCCCAATAATACTAACATTCATCTTCTACCTGCATCTGCATCTCTTTTCCCATCACCATACAGACACATATAAGCTGTGGGGTAGAATCTGTGAAGTACACCAGATTGGGCTACTCTCAACTCAGATGCTTTGTCAATAGTGAACTAAAATGTTTACCTACTTACAAATGCCAAGCATAAATTAACTCATCCAACTAAAAATAAATTCATTAAAAATTTCTAAAGTATTGTATATGTGATGCATTGCATTTTACAATTAT